TAAGTCTAAGAATATAACATTTTTTTGTCTTTGCTGAGTTTTATGGTTCTGCTACAAGGCACCAATTGCATGGAAAAGCCAATAGTTGTCAAGTCTACTAAGCTCCATTAATAGTATAAGGACTACTTACTAATTTGTATGCTCTATTCCAGTATTGATAATTAGGAAATGTTGAGTTTAATGGCAGAAGAATTATTAAAAAAAATATAATTAATATCAGTTTCATAAGGGTTTTTTAAATAGCTGACAGACATAGTTGAGGAAAAAAGTTAAAATATTTACCAGAAAGAATACTTAAACATCCTGAAATAGTCTAACAATAGTCTAAATGCAAAGGAGAGATATTCTGGGGGTGGAAGAAGGTGTATAATATCAAAGAAGGTTTAAGGGTAAACATAATGCCCTTCAGAAGAAAAATCCTTTTAGACTGTAGAAAAGAACAAAATTTTTAGCAAGGTAGGTTCAAAACAGTGGAACTTTGATTTGCCAACAGAATGTAGGAATGGAGATGCAAAACTAAATCTAGAAACTTCAAGTGTGTATTATCTATCATATTATTGATGAAACTAAGGGGAAAACAGGAAAAATTAGTACAATAGGACACACAATGATTCACTCATTTAATATTTTAATTGATATGGTTGGGATACATGTAAAAAACACTGTAGTGGGAATAATGGTTACCTGGCATTATTATTAAAACAAGATATCCTGCCCCAGATTGCTAAGTCCTAATTGTGTTTATGGATGCTAGGTGCTGTATTGTACATACAAAACTGCCCATCTGGATCCAGTGCTAATCGGAAAGGTAGATGTGAAAAGCATTAAGTTTATTGTGCAGGTGAGTTTTACCAGAGTTCTGAGACGAATTGGATTTCTTGCAGTAAATGTTGGAACCACAATTAGAAAAAAAAAGTGGCATTATGACTTGCAGATCAATGTATAACTGTAGTATGTAAAGTGCAGGATATTCAGTGCTTCAAAGGAAGTGGTTAATTGATTGTAGGGGGATGTGGGCTACATTTCATGGTGTAATACTTTTTTACAAAGGGTTTGGTATGACCGTGTTTTCTTGATGCCAGTACCTTAACATATGACACTACTTATGACCTCATCATCCCTTCAGTGTGGTTTTTTTTATGGATGTGCATTACTGGTCCAGATTTGAAATAATTTGAATTTTAAAAAACTTTTCTTTAAACTGTCCTTCTGCTAGGAAATTCCTAAGAGTTCTTACATCCTGAGAGTTCAGGGGGTTGAAACCTGTAATTTTTGATTGCTAGAAATATTGATGATACATTGACTTTTGTGTCAGATGTTCTGTCAGATCATAAGGAGGACATCCATGTACCAGCTGCCTGATAAAGATTCCCTGGTGTCTGTCTGCTTTATACCTGGTAGAGAGCCTGTAGGCTCTTTGTGTTCCTGTCCGTGTGCCTTCAGGAAAACTGCTGGAACCCAGCTGTGTTTAGGTATTGATTTCTCCTAATTTAGTGAGATATGGCAACAAGTTTAAAAGCTTTAGGTAAACAAATTTTGTACGTTAATTAACATGACTTTTTGCACTGAAAAACAGAATAGGAAATTGAATCAGAGGGGATTGGAAGACCATTTTGTAGGTTGCCTTTATAAGGGATGTGCACCCTCCTTTACCTGGCAGAAATTGATTATTGATGTTCAGGTGTAAGTAGAATTTTTCTCTGGACGTTTTCTCTTATTTTTCTTATTTTTCTTTTGTGTTGCTCTCTGAAATACGTTTTCTTTTTGGAACCAGAGTACTGGGAATAGCCAGATCTTGGATCAATTCTGCTTACTTAGTTGTCCTGCTATGGGAAGAGAGCACCTGAAGAATCATCAAGGTCTAGAGTCTCTCTGTCTTTTGAATTAGACTAATCTGAGAATGTGAAAGATTATTCAGCCTTCTCTTAGTCTGTATTCATCAGCCTGTTATATCTACTCCCAGTCTGTTATGACATCGAGGCATGCCCTTGGTGCTTCTTAAGTACTAGAGGGAGTCTATGCCCAGCAAAACAAAACGTTTCACTTGCTCAAGTCTTAAGCATGCTGCTGGCCTCCTCACTCCACACTGGTTTCAATAGTGCCATTTTCAACAGTAACCTTTGGGCTTTATTTTTTAACTCCTAAGAAAGGCTGTATGCTTTGTAACCTTTCTGAATACACAGCTGCTTTCCATTTAATGGTATATACCAGCAAACCATAAATCATCTATACATATTCTTCTTTACCTTACATGGCTCGGACTGTTCTGAGAAAAACTGGTTCTACCATCCGGTGATTCCCTTAGCATAATCATTGCTTGGGTAGACCTGTTTAAAAAGATCTTGCTAATCCAGTGCTCTGGCTCAGACATGACTGCATGGTGTTCATGCTGATTCCTTGAGTTTGTTCCGAGTTCCAGTGAGCGTGTTTTGAGTGTATTGCTTGAGTTAAGCTGAAAAGTAACTGTAAAGAGTGCAGGATTAAACAGGAAAACCAGATTGTGCAAAACAGTTTATTTGTTTTGCAGAAGTTTGCTGTGGTTTTTCTGGTTGACTGTTGAGAAAGTCAGTGAGGTTGAAGATTAGAACCTTTTTGAAAGCAGAGGTTGGTCTTGCCTTTTTGTCTTTGAAGGGAGGCTTGTCTGAAGTTTCTGAGAATGGTTTTCACTTCCAACTAGTTTCAGTTGTCTTAAAATAGTAAATGTGAAAACTTAAACTTACTGTGTAGTAAATTCTTATTTAATCTGCAGTTAATGTACATTATTACTTTGCAGGATGACTATTGTAGGAGGAATCAGCATTTCTAAAAGTCTGCATGTGGAATGGAGTCAGTGTAGAGCACATGGTTTTGATATACAAATTGCCCTGTTTTAGGCCTCAGAGTTTAGCCATTGTTGTTGTTAGGACATTATAGACTCCTCCCTTCCAGCTAAAGTCAATTATTTTATTTGTTCTACTGATTTTTTTCTTTTTTTTTTTTTTTTTCTCTTGAAGGAAGCTGTCCTATAGCATAAAGAGAGTGTAGAGATGTGTAGCTAAAATACAAATGTGAATTTATGTCATAAATTGGAGAAAAGGGGAAGTATGTGACTTGTGGCCTCGATAGTGATGATATATGTATACTCAATATGTTTCCCTTAAACATCTATTAAAAACACTCATTTCTGTTACTTAGCTAAGCTGGTATTTTTCTGGTCTTCTCTTTGATAATATCAACTTCTTATTTATCTTAAGGCAGGATAGTACAATACAATATTCACTGCCTGTACACTATAAATAAAAGATATTACAATATGGGGAATGTGGGCTTTTTGGAGAATCATCTTACCAAATTATCCTTTGAGGTACAGATCGAAGGTTGTATTGACTGCTCTTAACTGAGACAGCTTTTAAAAATTATATTCACTGCTGTAGTAATGTATAGCACATGCCACTGATTTCTTACTAGTCCTCCATCATGGAAAGATGACTTTTAAAGTAGATCAGAGTCATGCCAGAAATCTCTAGTATATTCCTGAAGCCAGGGAATATGAGGCTACTGTGTGCCAGGTGTCTGCACTAGAAAGACAGAAAGCTCAGCCACCTAAACAAAACCAGAAAATAAACAAACCAACCTAAACAAACACCACCTCAAAAAAACCCAACTCACCTGTGTTGTATTTGGGAAATACATAATTCCTATAATTTAGCTTTTTCCAGCTGCATCTTCCAGGGAAAAAAAAGAAAAAAAGCTCAGGAGACAAGTTGAGAGCTGGTAATCATCTGATTGGACATTGTGTGCTTGAAATATTTGAAAATTAAAATTCATAAGTGGTTAGGATTTAATCTGTTACATATGAAAGACTGTCCTCTAGCCATATGCAAGGCAGAAGATTCTATTAATCAGAAGTTGTTACAGAAGAATGCTAGGAAGGTTCTGAAGAATTCTGCTGAAAAACTGAGTAGTGGGAAGGAAGGTGTGGAATGAAGGTAAAATCTCTGAATTTCTGAGCACCTTTTATTGGCTTTCTGACATCTAAAAGGTAACTATCTATATATGTATGTAACTTTTAAGTAAATTAGAATTTGAAAAAAATTATTAATTAGACTTCAGGTTCTCTAGGGAAAGAATGCACAAATGAACTCGAATTCCATCTCCAATGATGATGGAAAATGCTAACAATTTTAAATAGCTTTTCATTTGTTTCTAAAATGATACTGAGCTGCTGTTAAACTTTAGGAGCAAACTAAGAATTAATGCCTGATGTGATGCCCTACCATTATTACTTAGGAAATACATACTTTTCCTTACAACTTGCTATTGGTCATGTTTGTTGTGTAAGCAAAGTCATTCAAAGTCTTTCAGGGAAAAATATATCTCAAATTCTCCAAGTATAGTATCACTGTCAAGAAAAAGCCTTTGTTGACCAACAAAGTATTTAAGATTTTTTTTTTTAATCTTTATGGCTAAATTTCAAATTTAAAAGCCTTTTTCTTTATCACTTGTTAGAATAGCCCTTGGGAAAGTGCAGAAAGTGATAAATGCTGTAAAATTGGAATTGAATTCAGTGTTTTTTCTAAGTTTATACTGTAGTCATAAATTTTTCTTAAGGTGGAATAAGAGCTGACTTGCTATGTAAGGTCATGCTCCTAAAGACAACCTGTTTATCTGTTGGTTTTGTGTGGCTTTTTGCCATTCAGTCTTCCTCAGGTTTAACTGTTTGGCAGAAGTTATAGTAAAGTAAGATAATGTCTAGCTGTGTAGTAGTGAGGCTTCAAATGCCAGGTGGTTTTATATATTTCTTACTGTGATTTCATCCAGATTGAGAGTACATGAGGATCAAAGAAATAGTGGCATTACATGCCAGCAATAGGGAGTTTTCCACGTTTCCTTTCAATTACCTGCTTTAGTAGAACATGGAAAAGAGAGTACAGTAACATGCTATGAAAGCCTATCTCCCATATATTTATTTCTGTACTTGGATTCAGTATTTATATTCACTTTCTGTGTCTTTTTTACAGAATGGACAGCAAATTGTGGATGAACCTATGGGAGAAGATGATATCAACCAACAAACTGTAAGTAAAAGATGGCTGTAATAAAAACAGTACAATATTGGAGCACACTGACATCACTTAATTCATGGGCAGTTTGCCAGTGTTTTGTTGTTTGAGTTTACTGGACATGGGATGTACTCTTGGATCTTAACATTTTTGAGAGAGGTTTTCTTTTCCTCACTGGCTCAGGACTAGTTTGGTATCCTACTGTTCTCCAAACTCATTCCTCAACTTTTAATAGTGTCTCAGGGAAGGTCAAGGGTGAGGAACAACTGTGAAAGTGTAGTTTCCATTGTGCTTGTTATTGAAAGGCATTCATCAAAGGAATTCTTAACCAAGGCTTCTTAAAAATAGAGACTGTTACTAAAGAGAGGATCAATGAACCTGCCTGACTGTGATAATTTTTAAGGTTCCTTGTCTTCATGTCAATATTGCAGTTTACAAAATTTCATAATGTGAAGACACAGAGTTCAGTCTTGTTGCAATGCGTGTGAATTTTGTCAGTGACGTTTACCTGTACCTTTGTGTTAGAGAGTACTAGCTGAATGTTAAGTCTGCTGATTAATGGCTTTGCTAGTAAAAACAATTTTTGAAACTCCATGTTTGGTTGGACTTCACGGTTCATATGCTGTTGTTGCATATTATGCAGACTTCAGGTTGTGAGTAGATTGTTAAAGCTGTTTCCATCTATGTAGCATAGATATAATTGCAGCACCATAGCAGTTTCTCTCTCTGCTGAAATTGTGCACAGAGACAGTTGAGATACTGAATTGCTTTTTCCACGTTTATATTCAAATGTACCCATAATAGATGTCGCTCTTAAGCTGACATGAAAACTGGGTGACTGCAAGCCTGCATTGTATGGCTGCTCTTGGTTCCTCCTCATAGCATCAAGGCTCTGCTGTATGTACCACAAGGTGAAGAAATGAGGCAACTGCTGAGGGGTGACTGAAGTAGTGCAGTGTTAACAGTAAAAAAAGAACAGTAATTTTGTGTTTAGAAGGCGACACTAGGAGATCGTTTGTTCTAATATTGTGCATAATGTAAACTGCAATGCTTACTTGAATTCTTGTGTAAACTAGAACGTATCCTTGGAGAAGCATTCAGTTTTGTTTTGGTTTGTTAATTTATTTTGACTCGTGCCATTGCTTGATTATTTCCTTTTTTTTGAGTCTGTAACTTAACTATTTTATTTGGTTTACAAGGCAAGGTTTTGGTGAGGAGGGTTGATCTCTGTGAGAAGAGATCAGGGGGTTTGCACCACCATGTAGGAGAGAGTCAGATTCAACCAGCTCCAAAACAGGCCCAGCACTGGCCAAAGCTAGGCACATCAACCATGTGGGTGGACATCTGTGATAGCATGTTTATGGTAAAAATGGCTGTGTTGCATCTGTCAGGGTAAGGGGGGGGAAAAATATGTGGGAGAAACAGCCCTGCAAGACACCAAGATGAGTGAAGAAGGAGGAACAAGGAGGTGCTTCGTGTGCCAGAGCAGAGATTCCCCTGCAGCCCCAGAGAAGGCCATGGTGAGGCAATCTGTCCCCTGCAGCCTGTTGGAGGATTACAGTGGAGAAGATCTCCCCCCTGCAGGCTGTGGACAACTCCACACTGGAGCAGGTAGATGTGCCCTCAAGGGAGCTGCAGCCTGTGGAGAGCCCATTCTGGAGGAGGCAGGTGGGAAGAACTGCAGCCCATGGAGAGAAGCCCACAGAGGAGCAGGTTTTCTCATGGGGGTTTTAGACTGAAGCAGTCTATTCTTGAAGAACTAAACTTTGTGGAAAGGATCTGTGCTGGAGCCGGGGAAAATTAAGGAAGTGGCAGAAACAGTGCAATTCCTATTCCACCTGTGCTGCTTGACAGGGAGGGGGTAGAAGAACGGTATCAGCCTGAGGAGGGTGGAGGAAAAGGTGGTTTTAGTTTCTACTTTGTTTCTCACTTCCTGGCAACAGGTTAAATAAATTTTCCCTAAATTGATACTCTTTGGCCCGTGGTGGTAACTGGTATGTGCTGTCCCTGTTCTTAAGGAAGTGTATGAACTTTTCTTCTACATGTCCTGCTGAGGAGGGAAGATTGAGAAAATGACTGGGTGGGTGTCAGGCAGCCAGCTAAGGTTTATCACTCAAAATTATTGAACTTCTCTTTCAATATTTGATAATTACAGGATGCTTACAAATGTTTCCCAGTACTTCTCTGGAAATTTCCAAATGCTACTTTTTGTAGTGAGCAACTGATTTTAATACAGTATGACCATCATAAAATGATGACCAAAAAGTTAAAACATTTCTTTAGTATTCTTTCTGTCATGCTTGAGTTGCTTGTTTAAGATTGTTTTAGCTTTTTAATGTCTCAGACCAGTATTTTAGGAGTATACTTTGCATTTATTTCTAGGCTGTGGTGAGTAAAAGGTTGCTGATTGTGGTGTAAATTATCTAGGAGTTTTTAAACAAGACATTACTACAGCTGCTCAGTCAATTATAGCTGGAAGTTAATCAATGCTGTCACTCAGGTGATAAAATACTACTTAACCTGGGATATGAGATTCTGTCAGTGCTGCATAATTGTTTTGGTGCTAGATACAGACAATTTTAAATTACCACTGAAGCGCATTTAAGTTGTTCTGTTTAACTTTGCACTTAAATGGACTTTGGGGCACTTAAATAGTTGCTAACAATTGATGAAATTTCTCAGCTGTAACTGAGGACAGTAAAATGCCTAGGGTGTAGTATCATATCAGGTAAGAAGACAAAATACTTCAATAGGTGTGTAAAGTATTCAAGTTCAAGATAGAAAGTTGCCATACTTCTGTGGAGGTAGAAGGTGCAAGCTCGAAATCTGCATCCTTTTGCTATCTTAAGTGGTTGGATAGAATGCTGATAATGCAAATGAGATAGGAAGTTTAAAATAAATATTAAGATTTAATATAGTTCTATGTACATAAGAACTCTGTAGTATTCTGTGTATCAAAAGATAAATTGTTTCATTACATCCGTGTTCTTTTGGTCAAAAGTAAAGTTAATTAACAGGAAAGCCTGAGTTACGTGGCTGTGGTTCAAATTTGCTGGTTGTTTTAGGAAAAGCAGGAGCTATAAAGATACCCGTTTCTAAGGAGTCCAAGATGCTGTATGGTTCAAAGTCTTGCTTCTTTTAAAAGGGGACTCATTCAGGACTCTGGTTTTATTGCAACAAGTTTGCTGATTATATCTGACTTTATAGCTTGTTGCCAATATTTTTTTTTTTATCTGTATCTCATAAATGACCTGGCACCAGCAGGAAATAAATGTAAGAACAGCTGGCTGAAGCTTAACCTAATGTGAAAACTTAAGTGAACATTACTGAAAGGGGAAGCTATTTAAAGCCTTTTATTTGTTACCTTTCTCACTCTTGCACTGTCTCCCATTGCTTTTTGTACCTCTGTGTCCATAGAAATTGAGTAGATTAACTGAGCAAATTGTTTTGAGCTGTTGCAATCATGTTGCATGCTTTATTGCTAGTTAAAGCTAACCAGAAACTACAGCTAGCCTTGGGTGGCTTCCCATCTTGTGTGTATGTGAAGAGCATTTCATATTTGTGCTGTGTTCTTTGTTTTCTTATCTGGATTCTATGTAGCTGATAAAATGCTTAGTACAACTGATTATTACCATTGCATTCCACTAGCTTAAGCCTAATTATTAAACATATGAAAAATATTAGGTTCCAAGAATTTGTAAAGAGTTTTCTTTTCACTAGAAGTGAAGTTTTCATTTGTAAGTTGCAGGAATATTTCTTTTTGGTAAGATGCGAGAACTGAAGGTTTTTTTCCAGTACAGGCAAAGTGGAACCTATTCAGGCTCAAGCCTGCAATGAACCTCTCTTCAATGCAGGTGGTGAGGTCATATTACTACCCTTGAGTCCTTGTTTTGACGCTACTTTTAAACATGCACAATTCAAGCATACATAGAATTAAAATTAAAAGAAATCATATTGAAATATGCTGATCAGGGTGATAAAAAAATTAAATCTCAGTAGCTGTCATCCTCTTACTAAAAATATGTAACTAAGGTAACAATAACTAGTTAATGGGTAGTCAAAAGGTAGCGTAAGAAATGCTTTCAAAGAGAAGTCAGTAGTTTAAAAAGTCTTTTTCATTTGTTTTTTCCTGGTAGAATTTAAATAATGCATCTGTTTGCAGTCAGGAGAGATGAAAATTAAGATCATTGTCTTTCCAATCAGTTTTTTTTTTTTTTTAAAGGGTTTCTAAGAAAAGTCTGATTCGGGATATATTGGAAAAATAATCTGAAGCATGTGGACAATACAGTCTCTGAAGTATTAAATTTGGTCAGTGCTGAGATTCTGTATTTTACATGCATATATACCATACAATTTACACTAAATCTATAAAGTACTGGAGTGGAGATGTCAAGATAAGGAGAGAGGGATCATTCACCAGTTGCAGCCATGGGCAAAACAGCCCCCATCACTCAAGCTGCAATACTAACTCCAGAGTAATCTAGGGTAATCTCATTTGTCATGTCTTCATCTGTGAAAATAACTGGATGAGAACGTTATTCAGGAAAATTCATGGAAAAAAGCATAACTAAACTGACAGATTTTTACATTTTTAAACACTTCAGAGAGGCTTGAACTAATTTTTAGTTTTACCTCAATTTCTAATGTTCTGTACTAGTGAGAACTCAGAAACTTCTGTTTGCTTTTTGGCAAGCCAAACCACCATTTCAGGACTGCTCTTCTCTTGGATATTCCTGCTCAGGTAACAGTTTCCATGTTTAAGAACAGTCATGTTTGTTGTGACACTGAAGGCATTTCTGATTATTATTTTGATATGTTTGTCTTATTTTTGCTGATGCAACCTTCACATTTCAATTTTCTGTGCGTGCATTTTTGTCAGTTTTTTAATTAAAATTCTTGGCTCTGTGGTAGAAGCTTTAAGACATAGCTATAATTTCTTAAACATTAGGGAAATGTTTGTATTCACAAGTGTTCACAGTCCATAGTCCAGGTTTTGGATTTCTCATTATTTACAG